AGCAGCAGCACCACCACCACCACCACCACACCACAGCAGCAGCAGCAGCAGCAGCTGCACCACCACCACCACGACCAGCACCACCACCACCACAGCAGCAGCAGCAGCAGCAGCAGCAGCAGCAGGAGGCGCGCCTCGTCCCAAAGCTGCTTGACTTCTTTGTCAATTTTGAATCTGGAGTCTTCTGCTGCTGCATCTCCTGTGGGGTAAAGAATTAAGCAGCAAATGTTTTTGTAGCAGTTGCTGCACTTCTTCTTGTCGTACAAGTCGCAGGTGCTGTCCCCGCTGGGCCCTGCACGCGCAAACACCCTTTTAGGGTTTAGGGTTTAGGGTTTGGTGTTTGGGATCCCTCACCAGCTGGGGCTTCTCAACGCAGAGGTCCCTAGCTAGGGTTTAGGGTTTGGCGTTTAGGGTTTGCAGCGAGTTTGAGGCGCCCGCTGCTGCTTCTTTCACCAACACGCAGCAATTAGGGTTTAGGGTTTAGGGTTTAGGGTTTAGGGTTTGTACCGAGTCGGAGGCACCTGCTTTTGCCCCTTTTGTGAGCATTTGTTGTTCGAACTGCTCGAACTCTCCTTTCCACCAGCAAACAATTCACCAGCGAAAGTGCTGAGCTGCAGCCAGCCATGAAGCTGCTGTCCAGCCGCAGCCCTGCAGCAGCAGCAGCAGCAGCAGCAGCAGCAGCAGCAAGCAGTAAGCAGCAGCAGCAGGCGCCCGCCAGCCAGCTACCGCGCAGGCTACATGCCCAGCTATATATACCCAGCTAGCTGCCCAGCTAGCTGCCAAGCTAGCTAGCTAGCTGTGCAGCTAGCTAGCTAGCTAGCTAGCCAGCCGGCTAGCTAGCTGGCTAGCTAGCTAGCCACCCAGATAGCTAGCTAGCTAGCTAGCTACACAGCTAGCTAGCTAGCCACATAGCTAGTTAGCTACCCATCTATCTATCTAGTTGGCTACCCAGCTAGCCAGCTATTCGCCCAGCTAGCTAGCCACCCAGCCAGCCAGCTAGCTAGCCAGCTAGCCACCCAGCTAGCTAGCTAGCTAGCTAGCTAGCTGGCTGGCTAGCTAGCTAGCTAGCTGTGAGTGGTTACCTGTGGGTCCCCTCATTTGAACAGTTTTGTGGAGAGCATCTGCAGTCTGAATTGCTTCGAAAGGATTCAAAAAGCAAAAGCTCTTGCTGCTGCTGCAGTAAAGGACGTTTTCTGCTGCAGCAAGAGACTTCACGAAGGCCGATGCTAAAGCAGCAGCAGCAGCAGCAGCAGCAACAGCGCAGCAACAGCAAAACAGAATCCCATTTCGCATTATTTAATTCTTTCCGATCCAATATTAGCTAATTCCGCTCTACATGCCGCTGCAGCAGCAGCAGCAGCAGAACAGCAGCGGCAGCAACAGCAGCAAATATAGCAGCAGCAGCAGCACCAACAGCAGCGCCACCACAGAAACAGAAGAGACCAGCAACAGCAACAGCAGCAGCAGCAGCAGCAGCAGCAGCAGCAGCAGCAGCAGGAGCAGC